ATATTACTTTTACTGTTTAGTCTGTTTTTGGTGGTATCCATTATTACAAATCACTAATACATTCCGTCATTGTGTTATTGTTCTATGATAATTTTGTATTCTTATCTTTCATTTTTGCTAATATGCTTTGTCTATATGCCTTTTTGTGTTTCTTTGTTACATACGACATGGCTCTGTACTTATAAATCCCGTTTTTGTGCCATGGTAAATGTTTGTTTACATATTTGTTTGTTTTTATAGTGATTAAGATAATAACACAATGTTAACTGCTGTTCCCCTATTTTTGACATTTTTACCTATTATGTCTGTTTGTTTTGTTCACACATCGTTGTCAATATAATGCAACTTTATGCGACTGTCATACAAGTGGGAGGTTTAGCTAGCTATAAAACCAAGTCTAATCCACCATTTTCTACTTACGAAAATGCCTGTACCAAGAATATGACAGTTGTTGTCCATTCGTTTGATGTGTTTGAGCTTTTTATTTTGCCATTTGATTACTGACTTTCCGTTTTGAATTTTCCCCGGAGTTAAGTATTTTTGTGATTTTACTTTTTTCTATATCTGCTTTTATTCAATGTTCTTTGGTATAGAGAATTAGAAGGGTTAAAGGATAGTTTAAACTCGCCAAATCTCCATATATATGACCCACGTGTGGAACCACTTAAGTACTTTATTATATCATATTTGAATGTTCGTTTTTAACTTGGACAATTAAATGTTGACGAAAGACTGGATGTATTGTGTGTGTATCTTTCTATTGTGAAAAGCTGTATGTTGCCATCTTGATGTCGTTCGTTTGTTTTCCCCCATTCAGTGACTGTCTCATTGAAATTAAAACACCAATTGATTTTATTCATATTTCGATAATTTCCTGTATGTATGACACATTATTTCTTAAATCTTTCACGCAGAGGATTTCAAATTCAACCAATTGAATGCTGTAATCATCAATATTATTTGTATATTAATGGATTTCATGTGAGCATGAATATCGTTTTATTCAAAACAATCACAAACATTTATAAATTAAAATAATTAGTTGTTTGGATTCCTTGAATATGTTAAACACGTGTAAATTGATATAACTCTTATTGTATATTTATAGGTGCACCTAACTCGGAGACTTTTGATGTGACATTAATGATTATATTACTTAGAAACCTGGCAAATTTTCCTGAACCTGCAGGTGGATATGACAAATTACCATTGAAAACTGAAACCACACCCATAGCTGACTTAGCAAGAATCAAACACTACAGAAACCATATAGCTCATTTTAAAAACGGAAAGATGAATTCAGCATTCTTTACAATTGCATGGGAAGATATCAGTGGGGTAAGAATATCAGTTATCCGATAATTGCAACAAATGATGCATAATTCATGTAATTTTGAAGAATCGAGTTTTGAATTACCTTTTAAAAATCACAAGCTTAATGGGTGTTACATGCAAAATGTGTGTGCTGACTTTCTCAATGAATTGTTGGAATTGTTTGGTACTCAATGTTCTTCAACTTCTTACTTTCTTAGCTCTTTCTAATCGAGCGTCACTGATGGGTCTTTTTTATGGCATTTAGCGTGAAGGGGTTTGGTCCTGGTATCTATGGTGAGTGTATTAAGTATAGAAATAAGAAAATGCGGTATGATAACCAATGATACATCTATCTAGCTGAGACCAAATAAAGCGGAGATTAGCCACGAAGGTCGGACAATCTTCCATTTGTTGTTTTTGTTGTTAATGATGGATGTCATGTAATTTATAGAATATACAGTTGCTTACAATTTGTTCTGAATTCATAATCGGACAGGTGCATGCCCAACTTTATAATATCAATATAAACGACTACAATAGGCGATTAACATATTTTTGTTCTTGGATGTATTAACCTTCAATTGCATTAAAAGATGCTAAATTTATTAAAATCAAAGCCTATCCTCCTAAAACTGACAGATATTCTTAAGCTTATTTCAAAGAAATTTTCGTCTTAGTTTTCATTTTTGCTTTTTAATGTTAACAAAAGTTATCACTGGTTGCCACTTTTTAATTTGAAGCACCACTGATAAGATATACATTGTCTTGAAATCAGAATAAAATGCATTCCGGTGACTAAATATACATGCAATTTAGTCAAAGATGCATGATTTTTTGTATTAGTTGTAATTGGCTTTGAACTGTCTGTCAGTAACTGCGAGTACTCTCAGATCTGTACTTAGTGTCTCTTTGTTGTTGGGATGTACAAGTACCCGGTCACGTCAACTATGTGTTTTGGTTAGATGTATTTCTATTTGTATCCATCTGATGAGTTAAGCCTTTTCTCATCTGATTTTTATAGTTCGTTCTTATGTTGTACTGTTACACCACTGTCCCAGGTTAGGTGGATTGTTGGGATCACGCTAACATATTTAACCCCGCCGCATTCTGTATGTATGTGCCTGTCCCAAGTCAGGAGCCTGTAATTCAGTAGTTGTCGTTTGTTGCTGTGATACATATTTGTTTTTCGTTCATTTTTGTGTACATAAATTAGGCCGTTAGTTTTCTCGTTTGAATTGTTTTACATTTGTGATTTCTGGGCTTTTTTAGCTGATTATACGGTATGGGCTTTGAAAATTTGAAGGCCGTATGGTGACCTTTAGCTGTTAATTTGTGTGTTTGTTTGTCTCTTGTGAAGAGTTGTCTCATTGGTAATCATACCACATCTTCTTTCTAATATAATAGGTGGTAGTAATGAATTTTATGTTTCTTTTATTACAAAGGGTCAATATTCTATTTATTTATTTTCAAACACCATCTTGTATGGATGATACTTATTTATTCACTTATTTTCAATGTTAGATACCTTAAAAATACTGTATAATTAATATTATGTATATGAATGTATATGCTCGGAAACGTACCCTTTAATTGAATTTAATAAAGTATTCGTATTCGTATATAAATCGTTGAAATGCACATATGGTGAAGCGTCGACATATGAAATATGGCACCTTACGTCCATTTTTTCATATATTCTTTTGAATACTCGACACCTATGTATTTTAAGTTTAGATTTCATTGCTTAATGATCGTTTATTGTGCAGCATTGTAAATCAAAAGTGGCAAAGATCCATATCAAAGAGAAAATTAGGTCTGGTAAACTTTAGAGTTTATTTCTTTCGTATAGCTATGTACGAAACGACTTCAAAAATAATACGAAGTAAATTAATTTGATATGTATTACACAGATGGAATACAATCGAACTGAGCTCTAAAATTCTTTAAGTTTTGATATAATTTTAACATTTTAACAGGCGAAATGTTCAAGTATGTCAACTTTCATTTTGTAAATATGTCACACAGTTATAGCAATTATATTTTGGAACAATGCAAACTGCTATGATCATGTAGTACGGTTGAATCCGTTTCGTGGTCGGGCTATTCCAGGTTACTAGGGTGTAAGGTCGGACCCGTATACTGTTTTGTGCGAGTTGATGTGAGATGATTTGAGAATAAAGATGTGCAGTTTATTTTAGTATTGACCTGTCTTGTTAGTCCCCATCAAAGTCAAGGTCATATCAAAACACAAACTATTTAATGTCACACATAAACAATCATGTCTTTGACACATTAGGTTGATGCCTGTACCAAGTCAGGAATAGGACAGTTGTTATCCATTCGTTTGACATGTTTGAGCTTTTGATTTTGCCATTTAATTAGGGACTTTCCGTTTTGAATTTTCCTGGGAGTTCAGTATTTTTGTGATTTTACTTTTTCAAATCCTTTAACAATTTTATAGGCCGTGAAATTCCAATATATATTGCGTGGCATCTGCTCATTTTTTTCATTTTATTTTTATAGGCTATAAGAAGAATAGGTGGTCCAGATATGGTTGAGGAATGTAAAGAGCTAAGAACAAAACATTTGGATCAATCAACAGTACCTTGGAACCTGAAAGGTAAGGAGAAAAACAGTGAACACATTTCCTATACCTTGAAATGTTTTAAAGTATCAAAAACTAACATTATTTACTGTATTCCAATGAAATATTTAATAACACTAAATTGATGGTACAACTCTGAGACCTACTCTATAGTGAGCAATGTAAGACTTATTCCAAGGTCAATTTGACAAAATGAAAAACAACTACAAAATATTGAACCAATTTGTAGTTTAATGAAACTGAGAAGATACGAGCATAACTTATGGCCAGTCAATTTTCAAAAGAACTGGTGCGAAAATAAATCTCACTACAATTACGTTCACATTTTCGTGACCCTTACTTTTGAATTGTATAAAAATCAGTTTTAGAATATTGAAATTGCTTTTAGCATAGACTTTCAAAGAACATCCATCAACACCAAATTCTAAAAGTAAAAATAAATAGGTTGATATGATTATTTATCACTGATGGAATTACAATTAGTTTTGATCTGAACAAACTAGTTAATATTCTTAAAAAAGTGCAAGTTAATTCTAAACAAAATATATGATAGATAAACAAAATGTTCAAACAAAACTTTTAGAAATAACTACATCGTACCAAAGAATGTTAATTGCTACTGAAGAAAGTTCCAAATACTTGAAATTGGAAATATGAAAACATACCGTCCTACATTGTAGTATCAGTGGATGTATTTCAGAGTAGGTTTTATTTTAGGAAAGTCAAACACAAATGTACAAAGTCATAATATATTGCCCAATAAAAATGTATTCTGATTTAAAAGCAAAAAGACATCCAGAATAATTAAATGTTGCTTGAAACAATAAATAAGTAAATAAGTGGTCTTCTAAAGCAACAAAACAATGTAATTTGAATATTTCGTTTGTGTAAACACATGTCTTATTGATTTTTTTACGTCAACATTGTTAAATAATTGTTTCATTTGCAATGGTACCACGTTCTTCTCATTTTTATGGGGAAAATAAATCAAACAAAACTCTGTTTATGTTGATGTATAGATATTTCTCTTATGACTATATATATCATTTATTCATATTTTAGTACAATTCCGTCAGATACTGGATCAGTGGAAGAAAGATGATGTTAACTTTGTGAAAACTAGAGCTGCAAAACATGTGCTAGAATTTATCAAGAAACATAATTGTGTAACTATTACTGCTAGTTCTGGTGTTGGAAAGACAGCAACCCTCCGACATGTGGTTTTGAAAATGATAAGAGACGGGTATGATGCATTACTGGTAACCAATCCACATGAAATTGTTCAGTTTTTTAATCCAAATCAGAAAACATTGTTTGTTATTGATGACTTTTGTGGAACATTCTCAATAAACCAATCCGATGTAAACAACTGGGAATCAGTCATAAAACGTATTAAAAAATTAACTGGAAATAACAATAAACACACAAAAATTATTGTTGCCTGTAGATTACAAGTCTACAAAGATGAACACTTCGAATCATTATCAATTTTCAGAACCAATACATGCAACTTGTTATCAGAAGACTTATGCTTGTCAAAAACTGAAAAACAGTCAATTGCAGAGACATATCTGAAAGATGACGCTTCTGAGATTATTCAGTATTGTGATTTATTTGATTGTTTCCCATTGCTCTGTAAATTGTATCATGTTAATTCGGAACTCAAGATTAAAGATTTCTTTCAGAATCCATTTTCAGTGTATGAAGAAGAGATGGAACATCTGAAGAAGAATAAAAAATTTGGTAAATACTGTGCAATAGCATTGTGTGTCATTTTTAATAATAATTTAAGAAACGAAGTTTTGACAGAGGAAATAGATGAAAAAACAAAACACATAATATACAACACTTTTGAGGCATGTAGACTGGACAAAAGTACGTCAAGGTCAATCTTATTGGATGAACTTGATTCACTTGAGCAAACTTTCATAAGAAAGGAACATGGTGTTTACAGAACTTTACACGATAAACTGTTTGATATTTTATCGTATTACTTTGGGAAAAAGATGCCCCAGTTTTTAATCCAGAATGCACACAGTGAATTTATTATGGAACGTTTTTTATTAGAGAGAGAAAAAGACAGTCACCAGTTCCTCACGATAGTTCCGCCTAAATTCCACCAGATGTATATACAGAGAATGGCCAATGACTGGTCTTGTGGTAAGGTTATTGATGTGTTCAATAATATAAATATGGACATACCAAAGTTCAGACGACGATTTCTATGTTATTTAAATACACTTGATATTACACACCAGAGACAACTAGCACAAACATGTGATGACACTGACAACGATACTGTTCTTTTACAGAGTTGTTTTAAAGGTGATATTCCATTTATTCAATGGTGTTTGTATCATTGTGTTGATATTAATCTGTGTAGGAATAATGGTTTGAGTCCTTTACATGTATCATCACAAGAAGGTCATACTGAAGTAGTGAAGATGCTATTGGAAAACAAGGCAGACATAAGTAAGTGTAAAGATGATGAAGCATCTCCCCTGTTTATGGCATGTCAGGACGGATATAAAGATGTAGTACAGTTGTTACTAGATAACAAGGCAGACAGTAATAAGTGTATGGATAATGATACATCCCCCTTGTCCATTGCTTGTCAGGAAGGACATATAGATGTAGTACAGCTTTTACTAAAAAAAAAAGCAGATATCAATAAGTGTAACGATGATGAACAATCTCCAGTGTTTATGGCTTGTCAGGACGGACATAAAGAAATAGTGCAGTTGTTATTGGACAACAGGGCAGACATCAATAAATGTATGGATCATGAGATCTCCCCCTTATTCATTGCTTGTAAGGGAGGATATATAGGTATAGTTCGGCTGTTACTAAACAACAAAGCAGATATTAATAAGTGTAACGATGAAGAAGCGTCTTCCCTATTTATTGCTTGTCAGGAAGGACATAAAGATGTAGTACAGTTGTTACTAGAACACAAGGCAGACATTGATAAATGTACGAATGACGATGCATCCCCATTTATAATTGCTTGTCAGGAAGGACATAACGATATAGTACAGCTGTTATTAATAAACAAAGCAGATATCAATAAGTGTATGGATGATGAAACATCACCCCTGTTTATGGCTTGTCAGGAAGGACATATTGGTATAGTAAATTTGTTACTAGAAAATGAGGCAGACCTCAGTAAATGTATGGATAATGAAGCATCTCCCTTTTTTATTGCTTGTCAGCAAGGACATAAAGATATAGTAAAGTTGTTACTAAAAAACAAAGCAGACATCAATAAGTGTAAGGATGATGAATCATCTCCCTTGTTTATTGCTTGTCAGGAAGGACATATAGATGTAGTACAACTATTACTAGACAGTGAGGCAGACCTTAGTAAATGTAAAGATAACGAAGCATCTCCCTTTTTAATTGCTTGTCAGCAAGGACATACAGATATAGTACAACGGTTACTAGACCATAAGGCAGACATTAATAAGTGTAATACATGTGAACAATCTCCTTTGTATATAGCGTGTGAGTCTAACCAGAAAGATATAGTCCATCTGTTACTTAATAACAAGGCGGACTTAAACAAGTGTAGTATTGATAAGATATCCCCCTTATTTATTGCTTGTCAGGAAGGACATATAAATATAGTACAACTGTTGCTAGACAACAAAGCAGAAATTAATTAATGTAAGGATAATGAAATATCCCCCTTAATAATTGCTTGTCAGAAAGGATATGAAGATATAGTACGGCTGTTACTAGACAACATGGCTGACATTAATTAGTGTATGAATATTGAGATATCTCCCCTGTGGATTGCTTATAAGGAATGATATAAAGATATAGTACAGCTGTTACTGGACAACAGGGCAGACATCGATAAGTGTATGGATAATGAGATATCCCCTTTATTTGTTGCTTTCAGAAAGGACACACAGATATAGTAAAGCTGTTACTGGACAACAAGGCAGACATCAATAAGTTTATGTATGAAGATGCCTTTCCCTTATTTTTAGCTTGTCAGAAAGGACACACAGATATAGTAAAGCTGTTACTTGAATACAAGGCAGACATTTATAAGTGTATGTATGATGAAGCCTCTCATTTGTTTGTGGCTAGTGAGAAAGGTCATATAGATATAGTAAAGCTGTTACTGGAAAACAAGGCAGACATTAATAAGTGTATGTATAATGAAGCCTCTCCTTTGTTTGTGGCTTGTCAATAAAGTCATATTGATATAGTAAAGCTGTTATTGAACAGCAAAGCAGATGTTAATAAATGTTACGACGAAGAAGCATCTCCTTTGTTTATGGGTTGTAAAGAAGGACATAAACATAAAGTACAATTGTTAATAGACAACAATGCAGACAGTCATTTTTGTATGGATAATGAATCATCTCCATTGTTTGTGGCATGGCATAAAGGAAATGATGACATAATACAGCTGTTACTAGAAAAGTAAATTTATCGTTTGTTGATGTGGTTCATAAGTGTCTCGTTTCTCGTTTTATATAGATTAGACCGTTGGTTATCCCGTTTGAATGGTTTTATACTAGTCATTTTGGGGCTCTTTATAACTTGCTGTTCGGTGTGAGCCAAGGCTCCGTACTTTGACCTATAATGGTTTACTTTTATAAGTTTTTACTTTGATGGAGAGTTGTCTCATTGGCACTCATACCACATCTTCTTATATCTATAACAGTTACTGTCAATAATATACAAGGACATATAAAAAAAATCTATAACACGTAATCAATATGATAAACAACTTCAGTACTTATAAAAAATATATTTCAAGACCATCATGTACAATTTGTGAAGTTGATATGGAATATTTATCAACAAGGTCTTAAAAAGTCTACTTTCTTCCAAATTCAACAAATTTGTTGTCAATAAGAAACTCCAGCAAACTGATCACTTGTTCCTCGGTGACGCATTGTAATGCGTCTCCTTTGGTATGAGTATGGTGCCGATAAGTTATCAGTTAAGGTTCAGCCTTGAGTACATATTCGACGGGTAATTACATTCAAGATTAAATTTGAAGTACAATTTAGTACTGTTCCGTTTCTATGGTTTGAAAAGAGATGTTGTTCTGTCGAATAGAGTTGAGTAATACTAAATATAAGTGATAATAAGGACAGTCGAATATGATATAATGCTGTCTCGTGCAGATGTTCAGAGGTACTACGTACGATTTAGTATTTTTCAGTTCAGTTGGGAAAGAATAAAATACAATGTAGGGCTGTCCGTTGCAGTTTTTCGGATAAGGTCATGTACAATTAGTACTCATGGGTCATTTAGAAAGAGGAAATATGGTGCTGTTCAGAAAATATGGACATTAGCAATGTAATGCTGCTCAGTATAGCTTGTCGATTAGAGACAGATTAGTTCAATACAGTTTTGATTGGACAATATAATACAATAAAATGATGAAACAAGGGAACTGTCCACAAGGAAGACATATATCCCTTCCCGACTTCGAACCGACTAGTCTTGGTTCTTAGTTCAGTAGTCGGTGCATTATAAATTAAATACAAAATTATGCATGATAAACTGTTTGACCTTTTATCTTTTTATTTGCGAAAAAAAAAATGATTCGGTTTTTAAAAAGGAATGCATGTAGTTATTTTTTCATGGAAAGATTTTTATTGGAAAGAGAAGTATTTATGTATTTATTTATTTATTTATTTATTTATTTATTTGTTTATTTATTTTCATATTTTCTTTAACTTTTTATCTGTTCTATAGATAATGTCAAATATTTCTAATTATAATGTATTTATAATAATGACACTGTATATATTTTACATGATTGTATCATATTGTATGTATGTCATGTATATGCTTTAATTGTTACAAAAAAAAAGTGGTGGCGATATTATTGAATAGAGAGGCAGACGTAAATCAGTGCAGGTACGGCAACGTATCTCCCTTCTATCTGGCTTGTCACAATCAACATTTAGGTATAGTAAATCTACTGATAGACAACAAGGCAGACATTAATTAATGAGTGTATGCATGATGACACATTTCCGCTTTTCATTGCTTGTCATACAAATCATATAGATATCGTAAAGTATTTACAAAAAAATCATGCAGACATCAATAAGTGCAGAAAAGATGGAACATCTTCCCTCTAGTTTGCCTGTCACGAAAACAATATCGGTATAGAAAATGTGTTGTTGGTCCAGAAGGCAGACTTTAATAAGTGCAGGATTGATGGAACATCTCCTCTGTATATAATTTGCTATAATTATCATGTTCATGTTGTAAAACTTTTAATTGCCAATTAGGCAGACGTTAATAAGTGCAACTATACTGGAGTATCTCCTGTGTTGATTGCCTGTAATAAAAACTATTTAGATATTGTAAACCTGTTACTCCACAACGAGGGAGATTTTAATAAATGTACGAGTGAGGAAACATCTCCACTGTTGGTGAATCCATTTGCTCCCAATTTCAATTTACTAACATAAATGGTCACAATCATATACTAACTTTAATTTGTAAATATTCCAAACAAACTGAGAGACTATACAATCAGGAAACTTTTAGAAAAACGCTGTTCTATTTGAACAATATATACATACCTGAATTGGAATGCTTAAAATAAATGTTTTGAACGAGTTCTTTTTGAAAGAATGTGTATATATAACCATGTCGACGTTTCTGTCTTCCTTCTATTTGAGTACATGGCAATTTACTGATTTTTGGTTTGTAACCCCGATTTATATCTTTTTGATTGATTTATGAGATTTGGTATCTTGTTAATCCATAAAGACATATGCATCTAAGTAAAACACAAACCTGAGGTAATATAATGAGCCAATTTAGATTGTCAACAGGAGAACCATCCCCCAATGCACACACATTAACAAAGAAAAGTCCATAAAAGATTGCTTAAGATAGAGCAACTCGGCAAAAACAAACGGGAACTCAAGTTCTCCATAAGGGAAAGCTGATTATGCTCCACTAGTGGCAGACGTCGTGTTTCTCGGTTTTTTTTATTAAATGTATCATCATAACAACCTTTGTTTTAAGACTTGAAATGCATTTATTGAAAAACACCTGAATACTGAATATAATTTACCTTATATAACCCAGAGAAGTATACACAAGGGGCCCTGTGTTTACAATGGTCCATCGTTCATGGATAAACGGTTGACTCTATTAAAAAAAAAATATTTTCTAAGTTTAGCACATAAGTTACATTCTTATTCATTACACAGACATCATTTGCGATCAAACAGTATAACATTCTACATTAGATAAATACATCAAAATACACACTACAATCTACACATTACCTTTACTTATAATTGACATTAAAAAGAGGTAGGGCCAATTTCCCCTGAATTATTTTCACGGAAGGGCCAATTTCCCCTGAATTATTTTCACGGAAGGGCCAATTTCAAAAAGTGCTGAAAGAATAAAATTTACGATCAAAACATAAAATAAAAATGAGTTTTGGTCAATATATCGATTTTTATGTATTATGTTATGTCTGGAAAATAGTTAATTTAACCTCCAAAAAAGGATGAAATTCAAATATGCGGAATTTACCGTGTTTTTATGTTGGAAAAACAGGGAATCCCCCTAGAAGGACACTTCAAACCAAAACAAAGTTATGTTTTTTGTTGTTGTTGTAATTTATACAACTTTTTCCCTCAAAAATGATATTGGTTTAGTGTGTCCTTAATACCTAAAAAACAACTTTTTTAATAAAAAATGGAACATCACTAAATTGTACCTATACAGCTGCTTAATATCGATTTTGTTTTCAAGAGTCGCCGTGGCTCCATCGGTAGCGCTTAAAACTGTAAATAAAGGATTGTTTTTAAGATGGGGTTCAAATCTCACGCTAATTTTTCTCATTTTTTATGTTGAAATATTAAAATGTTATGTTTCTATCACATTTTTTCGGATGTTTGTTTAATTCAAAGAGTCACACTGAAGTAGGTGCTTGTACATAACCAATAACACGAGAATTGATTATATAGCAATGAAGCCCAAATGTTGTGTGTGTTATACACATAACAAACAAAAAAGGCCATAGCAGAAAAATTTCAAAACAACAAAATTTTTTTTTCTAAATCTTGAACAAGAACGTTTTAGAAAATGGTATGATATGTAACAAATGCAGACAGTAATTTTATCGCCAATCCACCAACTGTGTAGATACTAGTACTGGCATTGTTACATTGTACCACTGTCCCGACACCGGAACCTAAGTCATCAGGAAATGAAACAACACCACAGAAAAAATCATTTACACTACCAATCGTGACTGTAGGTAAAACATCAAGAAAGTGTTGAATCTGTATCACAACATAGGGTCGATCCATTTGGTACAATGCCATGCAGAAAATACCAGATTACATGTGTTTGTTACGCAAGCCGTTCTAGTACCAACTGGTGTAAGCTGTTGTCCGGTTCATATAGACGATAAACCTTAAAAGCTGGAACAGTGTATAGATATTGATACATCCAGATTGAGGAAAACAACATCCCAGTTAAATGCGTCCAATATTTTTTGGCTTCTTGGCATTAAAACAGAGACCGATCTTGAATTAGATTAGCTGATTTATATCAGATAATTAGATTATTAAATGTTTCTTGTATTTATATTTAACCCCCTTTTTTAGGCGCAACTTAGGGGCATTAAGTTTTTCGGTCTGTGCGTCCGTTCGTTCGTTTGTCCGTCCGTTCGTCCCTTCGTTCGTCCGTCTGTCCCGTTTCAGGTTAAGATTTTTTGTCAAGGTAATTTTTTATGAATTGGAAGTCCAACCAACTTGAAACTTAGTACACATGATCCCTATGATATGATCTTTCGCGTTTTAATGCTAAATTACAGTTTTTATCCCAATTTCATAGTTCACTGAACATAGAAAATGATAGTACGAGTGGGGCATCCGTGTACTATGGACACATTCTTGTTTAATATTTTGTTAGTTT